GCCGGGCTTTCATCTATGGCGTGACCAGCGGGCGGCAGGGCAAGGGTTCCATCTTTGTGTGGGCCTCCGGCAATGGTGGCCGCTATACAGACTCGTGCAACTGCGATGGCTACACCAACTCCATCTTTACCCTGTCCATTTCTAGTGCCACTCAAGCAGGGTAAGTTTTAGAAAGAGCTTTAAAGGGAATGATACTGATTCTAATACCTTTACAGCTTCAAGCCCTGGTACCTGGAGGAGTGCTCCTCCACGCTGGCCACCACCTACAGCTCCGGCACGCCGGGTCATGACAAAAGCGTGGCCACCGTGGACATGGATGGTCGCCTGCGACCCGACCACATCTGCACCGTGGAGCACACGGGTACTTCGGCATCGGCGCCCCTGGCAGCCGGCATCTGTGCCCTGGCGCTGGAGGCCAATCCAGAGCTAACGTGGCGCGACATGCAGTACCTGGTTGTGTACACCTCCAGGCCGGCGCCACTGGAGAAGGAGACCGGTTGGACGCTGAACGGGGTGAAGCGGAAGTACAGCCACAAGTTTGGCTACGGACTGATGGACGCCGGTGCCATGGTGTCGCTGGCAGAGCAATGGTCGTCGGTGCCACCGCAGCATATCTGCAAGTCGCGGGAGAACAACGAAGATCGGAAGATTGAGGGCGCCTTTGGCTATACGCTGGCCACGCACATGGACGTGAATGGGTGTGCGGGGACCATCAACGAGGTGCGCTACCTGGAGCATGTGCAATGTCGCATAACGCTGAGGTTTTTCCCACGAGGAAACCTGCGCATCCTGCTCACCTCGCCGATGGGCACCACCAGTACCCTGCTGTTCGAACGACCGCGTGACATTGTCAAGTCCAACTTCGATGACTGGCCTTTCCTGAGTGTGCACTTTTGGGGTGAAAAGGCCGAGGGCCGCTGGACCCTGCAGGTGATCAATGGCGGGCGGCGGCGCGTCAACCAACCCGGCATCCTATCCAAATGGCAGCTCATCTTCTACGGCACCTCAAGCCAGCCGATGCGTCTGAAGTCGGAGCTGCTCAGCAGCAGTCCCCAGCTACGCAGCCCCATCGGCTCGAATCCCTTCCTCATCCCGTCGGCCTCAAACATTGGCCAGCCGGCCAACGAGGGTGGCAACTTCAATACGGACAGCTTTGCCGGCTACCTCAATTACCAGAATATCTTTAGCAGTGCTGGTTCCAATCCAGAGCCAGCAACAGCTACACTCGACGGTCAGAATGTGACCGCTTCCGTTGCCTCATCCGCGGAAGCCGTTGGCTTTACCGCCTCCGCTGCTCAGCTGGTAGCAGCACCAGATTCGAGGGAAGGGGACAAGAAGATCCTGCACTCCTGCGATGCGGAGTGCGACTCCTCGGGCTGCTATGGCCGTGGACCCACCCAGTGCGTGGCCTGCAGTCACTACCGTCTGGACAAGTAAGCGATGACAGCATGGCCTGAAACTGGAAGTTGCAACGCTAATCGTTTTCTCTTTCCACAGCACTTGCGTTAGTCGCTGCCCGCCGCGCTCGTTCCCCAACCAGGTGGGCATCTGCTGGCCCTGCCACGACACCTGCGAAACGTGCGCTGGGGCTGGACCCGACAGCTGCCTTACCTGTGCCCCGGCCCACCTGCACGTCATCGATCTCGCCGTCTGCCTGCAATTTTGTCCAGACGGATATTTTGAAAGTAATAACCGATGATGGTACTAGGCTTTAGGCATATTTGTAATGTATATGTGTATTCCCGATTGCAGATAGCAGGAATAGAACCTGTGTGCCCTGCGAGCCCAACTGTGCCTCATGCCAGGATCATCCCGAGTTCTGCACCAGCTGTGACCACCACTTGGTCATGCATGAGAACAAATGCTACTCGGCCTGTCCCTTGGACACGTACGAAACGGAGGATAACAAGTGAGTAGCTGAATGATTGATTGTGTAACTGAAGTTAATCCCAATCCCTTGCAACAGATGTGCCTTCTGCCACTCGACTTGCGCCACATGCAATGGCCCCACGGACCAGAACTGCATCACGTGCCGCTCGAGTCGATATGCCTGGCAAAACAAATGCCTTATTAGCTGTCCAGACGGATTCTACGCCGACAAGAAACGGCTGGAGTGCATGCCCTGCCAGGAGGGCTGCAAGACCTGCACCAGCAACGGAGTTTGCTCCGAGTGCCTTCAAAACTGGACGCTGAACAAGAGTGACAAGTGCATCGTGGCCGGGAGCGAGGGCTGCAGTGAAGGTAAGCGATCCGAAAACATGCAATACTACAGAAGACTGTAAAATATTAAGAAATATTAATGATCTATTTTCTCCCCATAGCTGAGTTCTTCAGCCAGACCGCGGGGCAGTGCAGCTCTTGCCACACCTCCTGCGGCAGCTGCAACGGACCGGCGGAGACCAACTGCATGTCCTGTGGCCCCAGTCGACTGCTGGAGCAAAGTCGCTGTGTGAGCGGCTGCCGCGAGGGCTTCTTCATGGAGGCGGGCTCTGTGTGCTCGCCATGCCTGCACACCTGCAGTCAGTGCGTCTCGCGGACGAACTGCAGCAACTGTTCCAAGGGTCTGGAGCTACAGAATGGCGAGTGCCGCACCACCTGCGCCGATGGGTAGGCTACTAATCCCAAACCTTGACTGTCCACTCTTCCAACTGAAAGTTAATGTGTACCTATGTTATTTCAGCTACTACAGTGACCGCGGCATCTGCGCCAAGTGCTACTTGAGCTGCCACACCTGCAGCGGTCCGCGGCGCAACCAGTGCGTCCAGTGCCCGGCTGGATGGCAGCTGGCCGCCGGCGAATGCCATCCCGAGTGCCCCGAGGGCTTCTACAAGTCTGACTTTGGCTGCCAGAAGTGCCATCATTACTGCAAGACCTGCAATGGTATATAAATTGGAAAGCCTCTTATATCAACTTATTACTAATGGTATTTTCTTAAATTTTAGATGCTGGCCCATTGGCCTGCACTTCCTGCCCGCCACACTCGATGCTCGATGGCGGTCTGTGCATGGAGTGCCTCAGCTCACAGTATTATGATACAACGACGTCCACCTGCAAGACCTGCCACGACTCTTGCCGCTCCTGTTTCGGTCCCGGCCAGTTCTCCTGCAAGGCCTGTGCGGCGCCACTCCATCTGGACCAGCTGAACAGCCAGTGTGTGCCATGCTGCCAGAATCAGACGCTCGCCGAAAAGACCGCTTCGGCGCCCTGCTGCAATTGCGATGGAGAAACTGGTAGGGGTTTCATATTGTAAACTAATTAAATATGTATTTTGAATGAGTCTCTAAGGTATCTAGTATTCTGTGTCTAGTAGGAACACTATTTTTGTTTGAAATAAGTTTGTATTGGTTTAGATAACATAACTTATAGAAGTACCCTTAGACACTAGGATACATTTTATAGATTTCCATGTTTTTAAAGTTATTTACGGGTGTTGTTTGTCGGAAGTTACTTTAAATAAGAACCCTGTCGCACGAATATAGCCCAATGTTCAGGCATAATTTTTCCGGCATTAGCTCGCCGGAAGTGAGGTGTGTTTGTTTTTTTTTTTTTTTTGTAAAAACCTTCCTAGCATTACCAGGGAAAAATAATAGAGTTGATCTAGCTGATCTAATCATAACTAAATATTTTTCCAGGCGAGTGCAAAGCTACCTCTACGGGCGGCAAACGGCGGACGGTAATCGGCAGTGGAAGTGCCTACAAAAGCGGCGAGCCTGAGCACGGATCTTTTGAGAGCGATGGCAATAGCAGGGAGTTCGTCCTGCGACTAGACTCACCTTTAACGGCCATCACAGCTATTGCTGTGGCCATCTGCCTGTTGATCATAACGATATTCTCCATCATCTTTGCTGTTTTACAGGTAACTTTCTGGAATTTCCTATCTGAAACATGAAAATTAAACCTTTTTATTGTCTATTTTCCAGCGTAATAGCAACCATGTATCCAGAAATTCAGTGAGGTATAGGAAAATAGCAAGCACATCGTCGGGCAGGCGAAAGAACTTGTCCGCCAAGCCCACCAGCGATGCAAGATTCATTTTTAACATTGGCGAGGACGAAGATACAGATGGTGATAATTCCGAGGATGAGATGGATGGTAATCTGGGCACCGATATAAACCGGATTGTCTACGACCGCAAGGGTAAAGATCTGGGACACGAATTTTACATTGAGAGTACAAATGATATTGATGCGATCGAGTTTCACTGCAAAGGAGCGCAGAAAGCAGAGTCCCAACAACCACGAAGGTGCAATGAGAACGGTGATGATGATGATATTCATTATGATGCGACGGCGGACAGAAATCCGTATCCATCGACAACGAGCCGTACAAACATAAACATCCGTAGCTGATTGATTGATCAATGGGACAACGCAACAGCGAACATAGATTGTACCAACAAGAACTTTGATCTTGGCTTTCTTGCTCTGGACTAGTAAATTGTAACCTTGCTTTGAGGAATATAGCGAATCGAAATATTTAACATCTGAAAAATGATAAAAATTTATATGTGATTGTGAATTGTTTTTATATATATATTTGTAAATTTAATGTTTGTATTAAATTTTTATGAAAAATGTTATGTCAAGTTGAATAATGACAGTGTCGTTTTTTATTGTTCCAGCCCCTATATCTTTTCTATTTTTAAGGGAAGATAAAAAACAACTTGCTTTCGGTACAAAAGAAATAGTCCTAGGATTTAATGTTTTTAGTTTAATAAATTTTAAATAAATGGAAAGACTTTTAAAGGATCTGAGCAAAATATTTTTGTGATTATAGTTAGAATTAACTTTTTGTGATCCGCACCTATATGAAAGAGATAGCAATATTTTTTTCCCACTTTTTCTTGGATTTCTTTTATAAAGGATTAAAAAATACAAGATCTTTATGATTTTATATTATATAGCTCTGAAATGAATTAAATATATTGTGTTTCTGTTGATAGAAAATATTTTATTTACAAAAATACAAAATATCTAATTAATATACATATGTTTCGATCACTTATTTCAAATTCAAACCAAAAATGCACTACAAATAGCTGTAGTTGGATTTGGAATTCGACATTTATTCGAATGTTCATAATGTTAGTTCCATGTAAATCATTATAAATTCGGTAATACTTCGGTCTTCTTCAATGTCTTATTACGTCGCTGCGTATGCTAAGGTATACAAAATCGAATATGTATATATATTTTTTACATAGGTGGCTGAGAGGTATTTTACATGGACGCGGATACGTTCGTACGACCCATTTAAGATATAGTACAGTCGCAGCACATGAGTGAGTAGTACAAGCATTTGACGACCTTTTCATCCTTGTCGCCATCATCCTTGCCATTCAATTTAGCCTTGTCATTGTCGTAGGCAAAGAGCTTGCCATCCAGTTGATCGGACTCCAGGCCCTCGACTTTCTTAGACTTCTTTCTCTTGTTTTTATGCATCACTTCGTTGCAGTTACGCTGTTGCACCATGTCGTCGATCCAATCGAAGTCGGTGGCGTTCCCCTGAAACCTCGGGAAACTGGAAATGCTTTCTATAGAGTTGATATCCTCCTGTAAGTTATCTTTTTAGTTCAGTTTTAAATGGTTATTGTGTATTATTATTTACCTGGTTATTGTTGTGATTCTTATATCTACTCTTCTGCGGTGAAGCTTGCTGGGAATGGGTTGCTGGTGGGGATCCCTGCTTGTGGTTGGCCATGGGCGAAGAAGTGGTGGCTATCGAGGCTGTGGTTCCCGCCGAGCTGTTTAGCACCACCTCGGTTTCCTGCGACTGGAGGGCTGGCACTTTGGGCAAGTCGTCGGGACTCATGAAGTTGTGCTAAAACCAGCCAAAGATTAGGATACAATCATAGGGAAGTGGGTTAACCACCTACCAAGTCCTGTATTACCACGGTGGTGATGACATTGGGAGAAGTCATGACTCGGGTGGATGCTGATGCCGTCTCGGAAGTGGGACTGTTCAGGATCGGTGAATTGCTGCTCAATGGTGTTGTTGGCAATGTGGCTGTCTCCGAAACGATGGCCAAGTCATCTGAGGATGCTCTTTCGCTGGTCGAGGAACCTTGGACCATCGAACAGGTGGCCACAATGCTCAGAGACGATGATGGGGAAGTGCCGGATATATCGGGAGAGGGACTGAAATGGAAGAACTGATTATTTCATTTATCCCTATACCATACATCTTAGTGATTGTGGTTATGTAAAAGGTCTGGTTAATATACAACTAGTATAATAGTGTCTTAATCACAGTCTCTCCACCTTACTTACAAGTCAATCAGCTCGGACTGTGCCTTGCTGCCGCCCAAGGACCATACTTCGCTCTTTTTCTGTGGCCCTGAATACGAGATCTGTTTGTTGGTGGTATTGAAGCGGCCCTTGGAATGCGACTTCCGACCCGGTATCCATAATATGCGCATACCGGTGGTCTTGCTTTTCTTCGTCGGATTGGAAGCCATCTGAAAATCGTATACTAAATTCAGAAATTAAATGATCAAAATACAACTGTCTGTTGTTTATTTGTAAGTGTATTTGTCTTGTCACAAGCCTGTCAAACTACACTCCCATTTATAGTTTTGCGAAAATGTTGGCCAACTGAGTTCCAAAGTAAGTGGAACTAGGTTTTTCCCGATTTGTAACCTCCTCTATCCATTTCCCGCCTTTTAATCTTGTGACATCATTAAAGTGGTCTTGCTAACTTAAATTAGATTGCCATTAAGTAATATTACTAAATATCTGAGAAGTTGAAAGCACTTTATAACATTGAATTTAAGCTTTATACATATGTATAAAAATGTCGCCAACTAAAAACTATGAATTTTGTTTATTTAACAAATAGTAAACATTCCTCTTTTAATTTCTTTTTAATCTTAATTTATTTTTTAACGATACCTAAAAATAATGTTAAGAACACGTTCGAAAAAAAATACTTTAGAGTCGAGAAAAATATAATTACTAAGTATGGAAACTATGTTTTTTTCGATTATATGAATTATTCCCCTATCCCTTAACATCCCGAATCGAACTTTCTTAACTCAAATTTCCCTAACTCTGCGTTTTGCGACCTTTTATTCTTACAATTTTTCGCAAGTTTTGATTTCTTTATCGCGAGTTCCACTGAAATCTCTTCCAACTAAAGGCGGTTGGTCTTGTATTGATTTACGAAAAAATCCCAATCGATTTTGGTTGGAATAGATTTCAGTAACACCCCCATATGATGTCCCCGCACGTAAGAACTTCAACCAATTTTGATTGGAATGGATATAAATTTCACCCCCGTATACAAAAGTCGAATTTTTCTGTGGCGTAAGTGTTTACGATCTAAGATTATTTATGTTTTCTTATGAATGACAAAAGGTTTTGTGGTTTTTTAAGCATTGTTCGGGTTTCTAAGAACGGAGGATTTCAGGAATTGCAATTTTTTCGAGCTATTTTTAAAATCGGATGTTTTAAGCAAAAGAAATATTGACTAACTGATCAAAACCCATAAAATATGATGATATATGCATTTATTTATAGGATCTACTGTATATTACAATAAAGAATGCATCGTAGTACCCACACAATATGATATGATAGCACTAATTCGCAAGCACGGGTAGAAATAACTGTTGTCAGTGGACTATTGACAAATTGGCACTCATGACCGAAGACGATGAGCGGCACGAAAGTCTCCGCATTCGCTTCAAAAGGTATTTTCACAATTGGAACTTGTTGGTGGGATTACCTAATAAATATGCGCTTCGCGTCGACTTGAATAAAATATAAAAAGTGGTTTACCAAACACGTACGTATGTATAAAAGTCGAGATTCAAAACACCACGCACATTTTCGCTGATACATATATGTATATACACAATACATATGGTCACAATCATACATACAAAAATACACATATTTTTTGGGTGACAAACAAGTAGTAGTGGTACAACAGAAATGGTCATTTGTGTGTTAGTGGTTTTAAACAGCAATTAGTCTACACATATTTATTTAAAATCACAACAAAACCTGAATTTGAACTGCACTCACCTTTTCTCCTCAGATCTTGACCTGAATATCACAAGGTTTTGTGCAAATGAAGCATTTGTGTAAGCCAAGTACAAACATACAAATATATATACTATCGTATGTGGAGTGGGTTTCGGTATAAATCCGTGATATGTTGGAGATTCTTTGCAGATTTCTTGTTTTCCTTTTTTCCGCGGGAACTTAACACAACGAGTGGAGGGGTATGGTTACGTAGCGAATGGTAATGATTACATTACATCAGGTTACATTATTTTATTTATTTAACGACCGAGCGCATGCTGTATATATCGAATAAACAAATACTCAATCAGAGCCAGTGTTGTGCAAGTCAGTGGGAACAGCTTTCTCTTTTCTATCGGTCACAGCACTATTTCTCGTTGGCTTAATGCACTGCTTACACCAGACACGTCAGCTATCGATATCCTGATGGACGCAAAACTAACTTCGCGTTTGCTATCAATATCAAAATAAACTTAAAAACAAGTAAATTTAGTTATTTCTATAAAAATTGTTTGCTTAGTTTTCGTTCAACCAACTATAGTATTTCTTGTGTCTCAAAATTTTCCATTTAAACGCAGTTCATTCTGTCTTTATTCATTAATATTTATCTATATATTGTTAGGAAAAAAATCATAAGGAATCTTTTAAGATTACAATTTTATATATTTTATCTAAAAGTATATATATTTTTTAATGGAAAATTTAAGTTGTGTTATTTTTTAATTGTTCAGAGTTCTGTAAAAAAATTAAAACGTGTGCACGTTCACACTAGCTGGAAAACATCGATTGTTTCGCAAAACCAAATTTTCGATAGATTTTATCGAGCTTTATGGAGCTTTTATGTGTTTGTTTTGTTTACGTTTAGCCGCAATCGCAATCCAATTATCTATGTAAGAAGTGTAAACAATAGTATGCTATCCCAATAATAAGTGAAAATAATCAACATAAGCAGCAGGCAAACCTATTTCACAATGTTTACCCACAGACTTATCTCAGATCGATGAATACAACATCAACATACGGCGGGCAATCTGCGTCCGTTGAGTTTTGAAAGACTCGGGATTTCGATAATGGGCACTTTGCTCGCGAGAGTTTTTGGTTCTCTAAATTGTCGGGGCATTCTAAATATATATCAGGTTCGCGTGCTCGAGAGCAGAGCTATACTACATATATAATATCTGGCCCAGTCTCCCAGTGTTCGTGCTGCACTCTGCTATCCGCTATCCGTTTTGCTCGCGTGTTAGACGTAGGTAATTTGCTGCTTAATTCGCTTTAAATCTTTTTTTTAACCGCGTGTGTACCTGGATTTAAATTGGGAATATTACCAGATAAATCCTAAACTCCAAGCATTGACATCTGTGCATATAGGATGTAGCATCCTGTACATACCTACATGTACATATCCACCACCGCCGACAAATCTCTTCCAATTTACGCCGCTCAAAAATAGCCAGGAGGCAGGCTGCATATAGTATATGTACATAATAAACACAGCTGTGGCTAAAATATTAGCACTGAAAATTAGACCCAGTCCCATAAATGACAGATTGGATATACAAATATTTGTAGGCTGTCAGACCTGAAAACTCAGGTCATTAGCCTCCTCCAAAAACGATTGTGCAATACTTTGTCTTACACTTTGGTCACTGGACTATCTAAGAGTTTAGTTAGATAAGATTAGATTTGTCATTATTATAGAGTAGAAATCGAAAAGCTTGGTAAGACACTGTTAAAGAACCAATTGTTCTAGCTTTTACTCCTAGTTATCAAGAACTTTTGTCCTTTTATGGTCGAAAACGTTTCCTCTAGCTAACATAATGATAGTATAATCAGTCTATATGCGAATCTATTTCCATATTTTTTTAAACCAACTGGAAAGTTAGTTATTTAAGAATGATAGTCTTTATAGGGTCAAAATTATGATATATTTTCCCTGTTTCTCAGTACTTAAGCATACAAAGTACCATAAACTTAGGGAACCCACAACTTCAGATCCCAAGTGCTATTATTTTGAGCACCATTGTTGATATAAACAATCGTACGCACATAAGTTCTTACATATATGTCAGGCCCGACCCGGCGCGCTTCTTTTAACAGCCCTCATGGTGAAATTTATTTTTGGAGGTGCGGCAAAAACAGCGCAATTTTTATTCGAATTTTTTCTATGTTTCGTCTACATGAACACACAATCTGACAACTTCTACATCACATCCTCTGCAATCGTGCACTGTCTGCAGTTCAAAAACCGCTTGAATTGCTTTCGAAAACCAAACCGCCAATACTTTAATATTCTTGAGAATGTAAGAGCATACGAAATGAGTGCGTTAGGAACCTGTTACATCCTTGAAACCATATGAAACGCGTTAATATTATCCCTAGAATTACAGAACCTAGTGTTTTTTACCTTTCAGTTATGTAACATTTGAAGATTTAAGATTATTCCAACTGCAAGTTTACACAATATATTCATAAATATTAGGTAGTTTCAATATTTTAGAATTGTGGATAGAATATTTAGGGGTTTGGAAACATTCTTTATAAAGGAAATATTTTTATAATATTTAAGAAAATAATGAAGACTTGAAAACCTTTGTTTTCCAAATCCTTTCTATTTTATTTTGTCCCGCAGATCATCTTCCATGAATAATATTTAAGAAAATACTTATGATTTCGAAATATTTTGAACCTATATATTTTTTAAATAAGTAATTTTCTACTTGAAAAATATCCCCCAGATTATCATCCGTGAAGGCAGGACACAAGATCGGCTGTGATCATGGACCCGGAAGCATTTTTGGACGTGGCCAACCAGGTCATCAAGCTGAAAATGTTTCCGTTCTTCGACATCGCTCACAGTCTACTTGCCGCGCTGGCCGTGCGCGAGGACTTGGGCGCCAATGCCCAGGCGTTTTCGCGGAAGCATCCGCTCGCCTGCTGGCTCTCCACCATGCTGGTGATCTTCGCCGGCGGGATGGTGGCCAACGGACTGCTGGGTGAGCCCATACTGGCTCCGCTGAAGAACACAGGCCAGCTGCTCGTGGGCACGGCCGTTTGGTGAGTGATTACCCATCCGAAATCCTTATACCCAATCGAACTAATCCCTATTCATGCATCCCAGGTACGTGGTCTTCTACACGCCCTTTGATATCGGCTACAAGGTGGCCAAGTTCCTGCCCGTCAAGATCGTGGCCAGCGCCATGAAGGAGATCTATCGGGCAAAAAAGGTCTACGACGGAGTGGGACACGCGGCCAAGCTGTATCCGAACGCCTGGATCATCATGATCATCATTGGTACCCTCAAGGGCAACGGAGCGGGATTCACCAAGCTGATCGAGCGCCTCATCCGTGGAGCATGGACTCCCACAGCCATGGAATTCATGCAGCCCAGCTTGTGAGTGTTTCTACCTGATTCACCTGTGATCTTGGTTGTTTAATCTATTCTATATCCTTATAAACAGCTACACCAAAGCCTCCCTGCTGGCCTCGATCATCTTTGTGCTGGACAAGAAGACCGACTGGATCTCAGCACCGCATGCACTGGTCTACTTCGGCATCGTCATATTCCTGGTCTACTTTAAGCTGTCCTCCATACTGCTGGGCATCCACGATCCCTTCCTGCCGCTGGAGAACCTCAGCTGTGCCATCTTCTTTGGCGGCATTTGGGACAGCCTGGCCAAGATCCTGGGCCGCGGGCAGGCCAAGGATGCCGAAGGCAAAGATGTTAAGAAGAGCAACTAAACTATTTGTAGTCAGCCTCTACCACCTTACATACCCCCTTAAAAAGTACTTAACGCTGCCAACCAAAGCTAAACGCACACACACATTATATACAGCATACTATATAGCATAACGAACGATCTTCCCATGTGATTCGGATTTGGATTCGGATACGGATTCGATGCGGAAGCGCAAGCCAAAGACATTTTTGTGAGGCGTGGAAATTACACTTGAGGATCAGCATTTTGCGGTTGGGTGTGCCCCGCTGTTCCTCGACTCCAAATTTCACGCCGAGAGTTAGCCCTCAAAAATTTGTGTATTGTTTTACAATTGGTAGGATTTATATAGACCACAGACTTATTTTGGATGCCATATTTAATGCAATTCGAGCATGGCCCATACAGCTAAACTATAATACAAATACGACAGCCGAAAGGAGAACGATTTTAGACCAGCCATCTGAAGGAGCACGCCGAGTCTTGGGTCTTTTGCTGCAAAAGCGACGTGCTCAACGAACGAAATGTGTAAATATTGAAGTCGTTTCAGTGCTTCCTCTTTTTTTTTTATTAAATACATTTTAAGAATTTTTGCCGAAGACCCATTCGAAAACTGAATGATAGATCATTGCTTGAGGATTGTGAACACGTATTCAAGCTGAATTTAAGGCTATTGTAAGAGGTGTGAATGTTTATTGTTTGCAATAAAATTAAACTACGATTTTGGTTGATTGTCTTGTTTGTCTAAAAATGCGGACCTTAAAAAATGAGTTGTTATATTGATTTAAACAAAAGTTATTTACAAGTACTTTATAAATCATTAGTCACAAAAATGAGGAAAATTTAGGTTAATATTTTTTTTTATTTTTTGTCTATCCCTTGTCCAAATGGAAATGGATCTGATCTTAAAAAAATATTTTCCAAATGCCTAGATTTTATATTTATTTGTTATATTGTCACATTTTGAATTCTCAGTTATATGGTAATAACGTATAAGTAGCTTTATTAGGATTGTTATCAACTACGGTTCTATACAATACAATTTTCCTAAGAACTATACAATTTTTTTTAAGCTTAGAAGATATTAAAATGATTTTTTTAAAGCAGAATTCTGTAGATTGGTTTGAGGTTTTATGTAGAGGTTTTCATAATGCTTTTGAGCATAGTGTTATACAAAAATATGATTTATAATGAAAAAGAATTGCAAATGTACCACCAAATAACACCCCAAAAAAGGGTGTATAAATCTAAAGAGTAAAAATATCCTCGCTTTTAAACAAAATTGAGTTTATAATTGAATTTTGAACTGTTATGCCTAGATATATTAAATATTATTTACTTTTTTTATAGGTAGGTTTCCGTATTTTGTTGTTTAAAATGTGTTGGGATAAAATAATGGTGCAACAAATGTTTGTATTACAAAAAAAAATACTTGAAAATTAAACATTTTGCACGGGAATTGCCTATAAAACAAATTCTTTTGCCACCTTCTATACAGTCGTGTAGTGCGCCTTACAGTGAACTGAAAAATATAGTTAACTAAGGTCAGAAAAGAGCGTGAAAGCTGAGTAACCATCCATAACTCACCAATAAACTCGGAAACGGGATCGTTGTCGCCCTCGCCGCGCATTGTGCCGGTGATCTCCTCGTTCTCCACCATCGGCAGGAACAGTTGCACAAACTCCGGCGAGTACGGATGCGTGATGGTCTCCAGAACCTCGGTGACAAAGTATCGGATGAGGGAAATGTCTGTGTCCTCGATGGCGCAGCACTGCTTAATGTACCGCAGAACTGGTACAACACAGCCACGCGTCAGCAGGTTAACCATCCTATCCAGGATCATCTTCTTCATCTCCAGTTGTACAAGAATCTCGAGCTCATCCTGCTTGGACTCGAACAGGCGGATGAGCAGAAACAGGATCTGCTGTTGCAGTGTAGGATGCACTGCGGCCACCTCGTCGAGCACCGCCAGATGCGTGGGACAGCTGTCGGTGGAGAGCTTGAAGTAGGACGGTTCCATTACAACATTCTCGATCCACCGTATCACTCCCACGCCCACCACTGGATATCTGGAGAAGATGAGATCTTTTTAGTGAGGAATTCCGATTACTTTGAGGCACACTCACTTGATGCAGTTGTACAGTGTCTGCAGCTCGGCAATCAGTTCGGTGGAGCCCTGGTCCACATTGCAGATGGTATGCGCCTTTTCTATAGCCTGAATTGTGCTCTTCAGCTCCTCCTTGTTCAGCATCCTCTCGGTCATGGGTCGCTTCTTGGCCGGCTGGTCGATGACCGCGGACGCGTAGGCCAGCAGAAACATGTACTTGGGCTTGTGCTCGGGATTGATTTTAACGCCGGAACGGAAGAGGGCGTCTACCAGTAGCTCCAGAAACTGTGGGTTCCGTATCAAATCAATGGGCGGAGGATCTGATCCCGAGTAGTTGCGAAACAGCACGGTGATGTCGGCGGGATTGAGTGTGTTGCGGGTGAGCATGGAAGTCAGCGCTTGACAGGCCTGCGGATAGACCGCCGAACCATTTAGGGCCATCGTTATGGGCGTCACATTTTGATTGCTGTGGATCACAAAGGATTAGGTATTGTCTTATCAAAAACTCATAACCATAACTACTTTTGCAGGGCGTATTTAATGATTTCCTGGGAGAGGCGCTTCATGTTGAAACCGCCCTTCTGCTCTTGGCTGAGGACCTGGATGAGCACCTGGGAATAGACGTAGGTGTGCTGGCCGTGACACACCATGCGGGCGCATTCCTGAATGGCGCCATGCACATCGTCCGGATTGTTAAGAAACTTGACGATCGAGGTCTTCAGCACCCGCGAGAAGACCTCAATCTGCTGGGCCGCCGTCGAAATAGAGGTGATCTCGCTCTGGAAGCCCGCATCCGAAATCAGCTTGATGGTGAAGTTGAGCATCAGGCAGTCGGGATACTCCTCGGCCAGGCGGTAGATCAACGAACGCCACGTATAATGGTCGATCATCTCTGTTAGCCAGTCGGGCGTCTCGCCCTCCTCCGTGAAGATGGTGTCCGCCTTCTTGGGATCGAAGGATTTCAGGATCATCTCCTTGAGATGATTTTCGACCATGGCCTGCACTTCGGTAACCTTGACGCCGGCCAGGATTAGCCACTCGGCCAGCAAGTTGGCCATCTGGGCCACCGCCTTGTAGTTTTCCGACAGCATCGATATAACCTCCTCCGGGGAGCCGCCCGACTGGAAGTAGCGCTTCAGCTGCGTGAAGATCCCCGGCTCCATGATGTAGTCGGGTGTGAGGAACTTCTCCAGGCACTCCTGGATCGTCTTCTGCGGATTGTCCTCGAGCATTTCCTGCATTTGGGATGGGGGGATAACATGATTCAGTTGGCAAGTTTGTCCACAAATCCAGTGGCGTCAGCGGATTAGGCTAGCCGGGATTGACCGCCACGCCGCAGTGCCACTTACCTCCGGATTGGACTGTCCCTTGGCGCGGCCCTGCCAGCCGGACTCGTCGTATTCCACTTCCATTTTATCGCTCACTAGCTTATTTACATAAACATAAAATTAATTTTTCTCTTATTTTGATTTGAGTTTATGAATTTTTTAGTAGGGCAGTAAATTGTTAACGACAAAATACCGTCTAAAATTATGCTATGGTTAAGCGCCGTTCACACTGAGTATGCTGCCGCATCTGGGCATATTAATAAAACAAAAATATTTTTTACTAATTCCACGATTGTTTCTGCCTAATTTGTAACATTTGTTATTAATTTTATTTTATTTTTTATTGCCTCCAAGGGATGCGATATACACAACAAAAGTAGGTGGAAAGTGGCTATTAGTTTACAGAAGCGATAAGTAATTTCCAGATCTATCGATAAATATCGAACGCCTTGGATGCCGGTAATTTGGTAAACAAATGTCCGGTCCGGTAAATTATAAATAAATAAATAGATCACAAACAAAACTGGCAACATGTCGAACCAGCGCAAGGATATGTGGAAGCTGCTCTACAATCACGTGAACCGGAACGGGTCCAACTTGTCCCGGGTGTACACTGTGATCGAGGGCATTCTGTGCCAGGAGCCGAGCTTGATTAGCTGCTCACTGGTGCGGGAGCTGCATAACAAATTCCAGGACACCTTCCTCCTGTGGCTCCTCAACAAGCTGGCCAAGTGCCTGAGTGAGACTCCAGATGGCAGGTGAGATTGGCCACCAGCTATGGGATCCAAAAACTAAAAGCTCACCCTTGTTCTGCCGCAGTCAGTGCATCAATCTGCAGAGGAAAATACTCAGCTCCTGCTGTTCCAATCACCCCAAGCTGTACGAACGCTTGGTTCTGGCCTATGTGGAGGCTCTGGAGGAGACCCACCTACAGCTGAGTTCCCTGGACTTCGCACAAGGACGCGCTGAGGATAATCCCACCATAACCCTCAGCATTTTCCGCTGCGATGTGGCTTGCCTCCAGGAGTTCGATCCCCAGTGCGCCTTCGAGGACATCAAGCTACCCATTGAGCAGGCCGACCTGTATGCCAAGAGTCTGCTGGAGGTCCTGGAGCACGCCCATCACATTGGCTATGCCACGCACGGCGACATCTTCTCGGGCAGCCTGCATCAGGCCCTGCTAATCCTCAAGGAGTGCGACATGGACACAAAGCTGGCCAGCTTGAACTACTGTCACAGCGTTCTGCGCTCACAGTCGGCCATTAGCTGGGCAACCAATCCGGACGTTAGCCACTACGCCCAGTTGACGTTGGAGGCAACGACCATTATGTGGTCCACAGTGGCCAAGTGGCTGGAGTTTGGTTGTATGACACGCCAGGAGCTGGGACAGCTGAACGTGACCACCAAGCAGCTTTTACTCGTCCTGCAGAAGCGCGGTCAACCAGCCCTCCAGCTTGGCTATCTACTTCTCAACGAGATTCTCAGCCTGCCCGCCGACATCGAATTGGAAGATGAACTACTGGAAACTCTGAGCGCCTTTATTCAAGGCCAGCTAGAGCATTCGGTAACGTCGCTTGAGCAACTAGTGCACTTCCAGCAGCTTTTGCTAAGCCATTGGCACTCCTATCCCGAATATTTACTGCCCATATTGGCGCTAATGGCTGTGCAACAGCTTGAGATACGCACAACAGTGCTGCATTCGCTGACCCAAAGCTTCGATCGAATCATGAAAAAGGAGCAAGTCTTGGCGAGGGAATGGCGGGAACTTGTTGCCATTCTGCGCATCTTTAAGCAGCTGGAACAGCTCGTCTTGTCACAGAGCCAGCATAAGATAGCTGAACACGAAGGCCACATCGATGTCTCGCTATTGGCCAAGTTGCCGCTGCAGTGTGAAATCACAAAGGTGACGGACACCAACTGGAATAACATTTCAATGCAGCTGGTAGAGCAGGAATCCAAGTGCCCCTCAGCCAAAAAGCCCATATACTTGGAAATATGCTCGCTTCTAATGAAGATCACCTTCATTCGACACGTTCTAAAGACGCAAACGCAACACCAGCTGCTGGCCATTCTCCAGCGGCACATGGAGCTGTCCCATCTGTGCGGCATTCGCTTGGAAACGCCTTCGAGTGCGCATACCCAGATGCAGGGATTCTATGCCCAGCACTACATGAGTCTCATGCAAGCGGAGGAGACGCAGGAAGTGTTCTGCAACAATCTTCCACAGTTGTACATAGCGGGCTACATAAAGGCGGAGCAACTACTAAAGAGTCTGACCTCTATTGTGAGTCATATT